ACCTGTAGCCGGTGTAAAATAGTTACCTGTAGCCGGTTATCAGTGTAAAACAGTTACATGTAGCCGGTGTAAAATAGTTACCTGTAGCCGGTGTAAAATAGTTACCTGTAGCCGGTGTAAAATAGTTACCTGTAGCCGGTGTAAAATAGTTATCTGTAGCCGGTGTAAAATAGTTACCTGTAGCCGGTTATCAGTGTAAAACAGTTACCTGTAGCCGGTGTAAAATAGTTACCTGTAGCCGGTGTAAAATAGTTACCTGTAGCCGGTGTAAAATAGTTACCTGTAGCCGGTGTAAAATAGTTACCTGTAGCCGGTGTAAAATAGTTACCTGTAGCCGGTGTAAAATAGTTACCTGTAGCCGGTAAGCACCACATCATGTAAACCAGTACACAAAACATCTCCCCGGTTCTGCTTGACACCAGTCTTTATATGCTAATCAAATTGCGCAAATCATCTTAACATACATAGTAAGGGAAAGAGTAGGAAAATCAGTAAATAAATTCACGACAAGGATTTCTCTGTAGTTATGTAATGTGTTTATATTCCCAAGAACCACTTCAAAAAATTGTTAGAGCGAATCTGAATTCTGATGGGCAAAATTTCTAAAATGAATTGTGTCTAGTCGCCATACGCACTAATACAATAATAAAAATCATTTCAATTTCGATTCGTTTCGATAGAAACACCTCAAAGACTTCCGGAGAGGTGTAAGATTATCACAACTTATAATTTATATAATATATGACTTATGAAGGAGTCAATTACTAACTCTAATCTAGAAAAATTACAGACGCTTGGCATTTTGTTGAGAGTCTGGGAAGCTAATTAAGAGCTACGAGAAGCGTAGCTTTTAGGTCTGTCCATACCAGAGCAGAGCTTGTACATCTTCCCATCTCAACACAAAGCGACCAATAAGCCCAATGGCATCATACAGTTATACTGCTCGTTGCTCGTTGTCATTGAGTCCCCTAATAGTAATAGATCACGTGACTGAGTTAGGACAACAGAGGGTAAGTGTGTTTGCCAATTATTTCTCAGGATCTACGGTAATATCTGCGCCAGTCTGTTAAATCTTATCAGCATAAAGCAAACACGTTGAAAGACAGCCAACCATTCTCTACGGGGTAAACCTCGTAAATTACCACAAGGCCATTTGGGTATTTGGCACCGAGAATAGATCCTACAGTTGTGAGCTAATTAGCTCGGACCTGGATATTGCACGTGCTGGACGTACGTGCCTGTATTCAGGCTGTTCCCTTTTTTAATAAAAACATGAGGTTGGTGATAAAACGCTGGTCTGATCTTTGTATGATTATGTCTATCTTTGGCTATCCTCGTGGTGCCTTCATAACGAAGACACCTGTGTGTAGCAGGCTAAGTCCAAGCAAACCATCTCTCCCCCTTATAAAGCTTTATCATGTAGTATAGAATTAACATAATTATTATAATTTACAACTCCATTGTAGACGCCAAAATGAAGCAGATCAGCAGTAATTAATTGCGTGATTGCGAGAGCAAGTACGGCAAAAATGATGAGAAGATTATTAAAACACCTGCCTTAGTAGCTCTCAGCTGGAATCTAGTTGTTTTCGTTAGGAAATTATTAGCGGTTACAGTTTATCACACGTTTACTAAGTCGGCTCATGACTTCTCAGTTATCAGACTTAAAAACAATTTATGGTTGAACTTAAGTTTTAATACACTTAAATACTATTCGATATTATTACACTAACTGGATGTCACTTTAAATCCGATGACCTGTACAATGAAAACATACATCAAATCCAGTAGAGGGCTACATGATACATTTTATGTTAGATCAAGGTTTATATAATATGATAGATATGTGATTTGTGTGAAATCAGGACTTACATGAGCTAAGGAGATTATTACCATGCGCTCACTAAAGTACACAGCTCCTATGACTCGTTGTTAAGATTTATACTATAAATAAACACCCATCATTTGTTGTATTGGTACATATTACATTTATATTATTACAGACGCTGCACCATATCTCATATCTGTTAGTATGGTATTCATTGACCAATTCAGCAGCGATAATGGAGAGTTAGAATTAACCCAAATATCAGGGACACGAATGACTACTCCAAGATTTAAGAAACTAAACTTTCAACACTGAAAACATTCAGATTCTTGCCAAATATATTTCGATTGTAGTCATCTCCAGTGACAGTGAACCTAAAAAATGTTAAAAGGTTAGTGAAACTCAAGCCGTTACAAAATTAAGAATCCGAAAAAGGTAAAAAGATCATATTAAGGATTATGGAATATAGGTAATCCAAAGGGATTGACAGTATTAAGGCCAAAAGGTCTAAGAGAATTAAGCAAATGTATGTAATTATTTTCTTTTACTTCAAGTGTACTGAGACTGCAATTCTCTAAAATAAAAGTTCTAAAAATTTCATTAAAATCTGTATGTACTCCTAAACCGTGGTCAATCAAGTGAACTCCTAGGCTATACTCATCACTAGTAATATCAAATGCTCTACCATCAACGATTTCATAAAATTTGGACCTGTGTCCGTCCATCCTTTAATGCAAGCTCAATAGATTTATACATAATCGAGATGTAGCCATAATGGGGGACCTTAACATCTGGTTCATGAAAAGTTGTTGTTGTAAAGACCCGTATAGAGCCACCTCTAAGGGCTTTGAGACAGTTTATTAAATATAATAATCAATAATATCGAAAGTCGTTTCAAAATATTTTCAAACTCAAAGTTGAAATCACACTCACACTAAAAAGATCAATTATTTTGTCAAATAGTAAAAATTAAAAAAAAAAACTCTCGACACATTACAGTACGTGAGCATGATTAGCATGCCTTTCATTTTATTTGTACCACTTAAGTCCCAGAACTTTTTATTTCTTAATTCTGCTTGTTATAGTTTGTTATAATATACGGCTATTCTAATTTCTAGAAATTTTCAAGCGTGACGATGAAAATTTTATCGCGAGAATTATCTTTAAGATTTTGTGCATTAAAAAGCCGCGCGGAGTGAGGTAAGGCTTGCTGTTATCAGCGCTTTGGCAGTGAAAAATATGCTGAAATATGTCAGTCCATTAAGCGAACGTTGTTTATTACTGCTCGTTTATTGTGTATTGCTCGTTTATAGTGTACGACAATAACTCCACATTTCTAATCTTCAAACCAACTCGAATACAGCATCAAAAAAACTCAGCTACACTAATGAAGCTAAACAACTTTTCTAAAACGCATTAGGGCGTACTAAGAACAAGAAATCCCTACTGTCCATTAGAAATGACGTCGATGGAAGCCCTACTTTAAGAGTTATGAAGATTCTACTCCTCTCTCATGCAATCCTTAATTTGTCCAGGCAGATTTGGTGCCGGATTTATAGTCTTTTGATTAAGCCATGACGCCCTTCTAGTTTGGAAACTACTGTTAAGTTTGGTCCTGACATTATTATCTCCGGAAAGTTTTCCATAAGAATGGAGATTAATTAGCGAGGGACGTATATAGTAGGCTCAATTGATGTTAATAATGATTCTAGATTCATCTGAACGAATTCATGGTTGTTTTATGTAAAATAGCATGGACCATTTCTATTCTATAAACTGAGAGCCAAAAAGCCGGCAGGGCTCAATGTAGCTGACAGGGCTCAATGTAGCCGACAGGGCTCAATGTAGCCGACAGGGCTCAATGCAGCTGACAGGGCTCAATGCAGCCGACAGGGCTCAATGCAGCCGGCAGGGTTCAATGCAGCCGACAGGGCTCAATGCAGCCGGCAGGGCTCAATGCAGCCGGCAGGGCTCAATGTAGCCGACAGGGCTCAATGTAGCCGACAGGGCTCAATGTAGCCGACAGGGCTCAATGTAGCCGACAGGGCTCAATGCAGCCGGCAGGGTTCAATGTAGCTGACAGGGCTCAATGTAGCCGACAGGGCTCAATGCAGCTGACAGGGCTCAATGTAGCCGACAGGGCTCAATGCAGCTGACAGGGCTCAATGTAGCTAACTCATAACCAAGATACCAGCTAATTTGAATTTACATCCCCTCTTAAGAGGGCTCTCTCCTTGGCACCTGAATGCTTGCATTCAAACTAGGGTTGATATCTTTCCTTGAACTGCACTGGAAGCAAATGATGTTCTAGAGTATACAAAGGGGGATCAGTGCTCGGGAGAGGTGTACAGCGTTCTAGAACTTATACAAAGGGGGAGCAGTGCTCAGGAGAGGTGTCGAATCATTGCTTCATTGTGCTTTTTTTAATCGTTTCCTGTGTCTCATTGTTACATGAACGATTACCTGATGAAAGGGAGGATTCAAGCTGCCAACTCTCTTTGTATGTGGCCCAAGAAAATACACCGGTTTAAGGTGTATATTAGGAAGGATGGTACATATGGGCATCATAGTTAACGTGATTCTATTACAACATTAACTAATTGCTGACATTTTATCTTTTTATCCTTGTAAATACCAAAAATTCTATTTATAGAATTTTTATAAAAGCATGTTGGTACTGAAAATCGGAATTGAGAATTAATGTAAATTTGAGGTACCGCAACAATTGACCCCCCGACAATTGACCCCCGACAATTAACCCCCCGACAATTGACCCCCCGACAATTGACCCCAATGTAATTACACTGGGTCCATTGATCGGGTTAGGGTTAGGGTCAGGGTCAGGGTCAGGGTCAGGGTCAGGGTCAGGGTCAGGGTCAGGGTCAGGGTCAGGGTCAGGGTCAGGGTCAGGGTCAGGGTCAGGGTTAATTGTATCAAATTATATTGTCGGGGGGTCAATTGTCGGGGGGTCAATTGTCGGCCACCCAAATTTGAATAGGCAAACGCTCAGTTAAGTAATTTAAGGAGTCAACACAAATTATTTTTGCCTGTAATACGAATATATTCGAACGTTTTTGTCATATATTTTTTAGGGCATCCGAGTCAAACACATTTACATGATAATACATTGAATTCTAATAGTCTACTGTAGCATTAAAACGTTTATTTTCAGGAGCCTTGTTGCTAAGTGTCCTCGGGGGGAGAATGAGTGAGGGTATAAACTTTAGCGACGATCTGGGACGGTGTGTTGTAGTAGTAGGACTTCCTTTCGCTAACCCCTCTGATCCCGTGTTGCAGGTAAGTGGTCTGGTTGCTTTGTCTGGGGGGGGGGGCTTTGTCTATAGGATCTATTAATGGTTCAATTTTACAAGGTGTTGGATTCTTGTTAATGAAGTAGCGATATAATGGTTAAATTTTACAAGGTGTTGGATTCTTGTTAATGAAGTAGCGATACCGCTTAAGAATTTCAATGTAAGAACATGTCATGATCACATCTGAACCATAATTTCCGAGTTCATAATTACGTGGATCAAAAAGTTCATTATTATTCTCTGAAATTTGTCCGATGTCAATACCGTCTTGCTTGCTTACTGGACTTTCTCCAACAACTTATGCCCGACAAACTTTGTAAAATCAGGTTTCTTCTTATAAAAAGCGTCCCTAATGGGAAGAGGGGAGATCTTGAGAAGGAAATGGATAAACCGCACAGAATCAGGAACCATGACAACATCCTTCTCCTCCCTGATCCCCTGAATAGCTGCTCTCACCAACTCCTCCGGCTCCATGGGGTTAGTTTCCTTCTCTATCCCAGCTATCAACTTCGTTCTTACGAACCAGGGACACACAGCAGTGAAGTGTACATTAGTGTGAGCGTGCTGGTTCCTCAACTGGGCCAGCGCGTGGATAGCTCCAGCTTTCCCTGCACAGTAGTCGGTTATTTGACCCTGCAGTGGCATGAGACCGAGCATGGAGGCTATATTGACCACGTGACCTTGGTCCATGGCTAACATTTGGGGGAGGAAGAGCTTGATGGTCCACAGACCGGACACTAGATTCACCGTGAGAGAGTGCTGGATTTGTGTAAGGGACATGTCCTCGATGTTGGCCCCGAACACAACCCCTGCGTTGTTAATCAGCACTGTTACCACGTGACCATTCTCGGTCATCTCCTTGTGCACCTTCTCAACTTCCTCACTCTTGGTCAGATCGCACGTGTAGGCGTGCGCGCTGTGTCCTGCCTCGCGGAGACCTGCTACCACGCCCTCCACAAGCTCTTTACTGATGTCCAGACAGTGAACCGTGTTGCCCATTTCCGCGAACTGCCGTGCGAACTCCGCTCCAATACCCTGACCAGCCCCGGTAATCAGCACGTGCTGGTTTGAGATGGGTTTACAGGGTCGACATCGGAACAGGAAGTAGAACACCTCAAGCAGGAAATAGAGAGGGAGACGGAGGAAGGCGAGGAGAAGCGCTACTGGGTCCATCCTAGGTTAAAGTTTAGTTTTAAAGTTATAATAAAAGTTTATTACAACACAGCTTCTATAACAAAACTGAGGCTCTTGATAAAATTTGCAGTGTGTTTGTACCCTTGAGTTGTATTTCTTCTGTTGAATTGTAATAATCTTTTTCATTTGTAAAAATATGCATATCTAAAACTTCATATTGACCTCACTTATTACTTTGCGCGGGAACTCTTGATATATTTCATCTTTATAATGATTGAAGTCATAAAAATAATATAAAATTATTATTTTGTGACTTCTATCTGAATTTTTTGATGGTGCAATTTGACACAAAGAAAACAGAAACGAGAAAATCGCAGACAAAACTCTAAAACATGACTGATAGATTGTTTGCAATCGTACTGCTAAAGCTATCAATTATTAAATTAATTAACAGGAACTGACAAATGATGTAACTGGCAAATTACTGACAAATTTGTTCATTTAGCGACGAACAAAAATAAATTCAATCGAAATTTCTTGTTACTACTAGCCTTGTCGCTGAAAAGTTCTGGGCAACTTTTTGCGAGCAGCACAAGTGAATAACTATATTAAGCCTGTTGCTTCAGACTGTAAATTACCACATATTATGGTAAAAATAATAAAAATGTTACCAGTTCGCTAATATGAGCTGGATATGAGTGTAATGTAACAGTCAGTACATTGTTGATGCTCAATAGTGAGTGCTTATATCTAGTGTACTTCCTTGCAATAACAATCAGCATATATCAAGACTGCAGTTGATACGATCACAATATTATCATTGTCTTTACTTCACACCTACCTACACTGAACTGAGCTATCAAAGTTATCAGAAAAACTTATCTCGTGGACCCACATCTAGAGATTGTATTGACTTCTCACGTGGTACAGATGCCGACAAGATGCCGACAGATGCCGACAAGATGCCGTACAGATGCCGACAAGATGCCGACAAGATGCCGACAAAAGTTGCTCCTGTTTAAATAATATAGCAGAAAGAACATAAAATAACGAGTTTGTAATATTATAGACTAAAGTAAATTCTAAATAACCATAATATGATAAATAATAGCAATAATCTTTTACAAATTTACATGATGCAACTCTAAAACTATGATAAATATAAAATAAATATCAGCATTTCGGGCTGAACGGTACAAATTTTTCACAATTAAATTTGATTAGTGGACTCGTGACTCACGGCCCACAAACATATCATATTCAATTACTCAGTGTCCACAACCTTAGGCCGTGGAAGTGTGAAGTTTCGGCCATATGGCACTGTCTTTTCTACGGGACTATTAGGATTCCATTGTTCAATAACTAAATCGTGATTCGTAGTTATAGTAATGAAAGAAGCAGGAAATTAACTTGATATGGGGAGAATGAAGATGGACTATGAGGATTGGAATTTGGAACCCATTCATAATTAAATAATACATGTAATGTATAACGTATAATGTATATACATTTCCAGAATCTCTCGAATATCAGGACCCTTGTACAAGCTGGCAAGTAGCAGCAAGGTGCAACCCTTCTTTCCAGTTACCAGTAGCCGGGCACTAGTAGGTGCTAGTAGCCGGGTGCTAGTAGCCGGGTGCTAGTAGCCGAGTGCTAGTAGCCGGGTGCTAGTAGCCGGGTGCTAGTAGCCGGGTGCTAGTAGCCGGGTGCTAGTAGCCGGGTGCTAGTAGCCGGGTGCTAGTAGCCGGGTGCTAGTAGCCGGGTGCTAGTAGCCGGGTGCTAGTAGCCGAGTGCTACTGTACTACAGTGACTACATTAACTACTGTTATTATACAATACTAGTAGGTGCTAGTAGCCGGGTGCTAGTAGCCGGGTGCTAGTAGCCGGGTGCTAGTAGCCGGGTGCTAGTAGCCGGGTGCTACTGTACTACAGTGACTACATTAACTACTGTTATTATACAATTACAAGATTTGAAAGACAAATAAATCTCCTAGGCTTCCTCGCGTGATAACATGTGTGTACTGCGTAGTAATGTATGGTTCCTTGAGTTCAGAACAAATTAAACAAGATTTAAAGAAAGAGCAAAATATCGATAGTCAATAAGAAGTCCTAATACAGTGGATATCCTCCCCTTTTTAAAAGGATCTCCACAATAAACACGTCAGCCTAGCTGCAAATACAAGCTGTTTAGTGTTGTTTTACAATTAAAGGTATAATGTTAACGAAATAGATCTCTCACCAAAGGGCTCTAGAATCTAAATACTTAAATAGAATAGGGTTACACTCTGCATCCTAATGAGGTATGATGCAGAGTTCAATATAATAAAAGGTCAATTAAAATACGATACACTGGGGTATAAAAGGTTCTGAAAATTTTCATATTAAAAGGTGATAATCAAACGTAAAACCATTGTCACTGCCCCTAAGGAATTTAAATTATTACAATTTTGAGCATAATTTCATCACAATGTAGTAGTCAACCTTTTAATTAGTTCAATAAGAATCAATATTACTAGAGGTGTGAAAACACTTTATCATTGTCTCACGTAAACATTTAAAGAATGTTCGAGTAAATCTCTCGTCCACGTTTTTCGTTAAGCGGAGTTTTATTCGTAGGGATCCTATTTGTTAGTCTCAAAAAGTCTTTGTCGAGTAGAATTTGTTCTTAGGATTAATCTTTAAATGTACAGTATTTTAAAGGTATCTCCAGAATAAACTTATTGGAATGAATCACACTGTTGAACAATACAACACTATTCAGGAGAAGATGCGGTATCTGGACACACTGTTGAACAATAAAACACTATTTCAGGAGAAGATGCGGTATCTGGACACGACACTGAAGAGCAGTGAAGAAGGAAGAACACCCGGCCAGACTTACTACGAGAACAAGTGTATGAAGTCTGTAAACCAGGCCATTGGGAGGGCTATCAGGCACGCTAACGATTACGCTGCTATAGTCCTTCTAGATAAAAGGTAAAGATCAGACACTACATTTATTTAATTAACGATTACGCTGCTATAGTCCTTCTAGACAAAAGGTAAAGTTCAGATACTTAATTTATTTAATTGAAACTTTTGAATAATTTAATTTTGCCACGATTTTTTGACTGCTGTAACCAAAGCAGCTGCTACAACATGGAAAACTTCAAACTGTTGGGTCAATAAAACTAGAGGTATAATTCTTATTTTAATACTTTTAAGGTATTCGAGCGATCGGATCAACAAGAAACTGCCAGCCTGGATCAGAAAACATCTCAGACATTCCAACAGTCTTCCGCAGACATCTAGCATGATCAGAAACTTCTTCAAGGAGCGTGAAGTTGCTTGAATGACTGGGCGTGAGGTTTGAAAATGACACAGCCCGGCAGTTTGAGACTAAATGTTTTTTGCTTTATTCTATTTTATGACGAAATAATGTTTTTATAAATTTATTATTTTACTTATTTAAATTTCCAACATTTTGTTAATTTATTGAACAGTACCTTTGTAATATCTTGTTTATGTTTATTTTACTATCCCTGTTTGACTGCATGGTATTGCAAGAAGCCTTCCAAAAGGAACAAAAAGAACAATTCCTGGCAGATTGAATTAATTTTGATCATCCTTTCTGCTTTTGAGATAAAACTCAATGACCCTCACATAGGAAAACATGAGCCCAAAATAAGCTCATTTTCACCATGGTATACTACATCGGAGTAGACGTAGGGACGCAGAGCGTACGTGCAAGTCTGTGTGACGTCACTGGGAGGGAGCACAACACCAGTAGCCGTCCTCTCACCGTCCACAACCCTCTACCCGACCACTACGAGCAGTGTTGTCTCCAGATATGGGGTGCTGTGTGCGGGACTGTACGTGATGTGATCCAGGGGGTCAGGGTGGAGGAGGTCCGGGGGATAGGGTTTGATGCGACATGCTCTCTTGTTGTGGTGGGTAGTGCTGGAGAGCCTCTCAATATATCTGCTGGTAGTGGAGGTGGTAACACTTGTCTGATGTGGATGGATCACCGAGCTGAGAAAGAGACTGAGCTAGTGAACCAGTGTAAATCCTGTGTAACTGACTACGTGGGTGGGGGGTTTAGTCCGGAGCAGCAGCCTCCTAAACTACTCTGGTTAAAAAGTAACCTCCCTGAAACGTGGAGTAAAGCTGCTCACATGTTCGACCTGCCTGATTGGTTAACATACCGGGCTACCGGCAGCACTGTTCGCTCCCTGTGTTCTGTAACGTGTAAGTGGGGTTATGTAGCGGAGAGAGGAGGCTGGGATCAGGACTTCCTGACTGAGGTTGGGTTAGGGGATCTAGTAGGGTTAGATAAACTGGGGGTGAATGTCTGCTCTCCTGGGAGCAGTGTACCTGGGGGATTATCAGACAAGGCAGCTTGTGAGTTGGGTTTGAAACCTGGTACTAAAGTTGGGGTTTCTATGATAGACGCTCATGCTGGCACGCTGGCACTGCTGCGCTACACTCCTAGCGCTATCTGTGATACACTGTGTATCATCTCAGGTACCAGTACCTGTATTATGGCACTGGGCACCACTAAAACCTTTGTACCAGGAGTGTGGGGACCGTACCAGGGGCGGTGTTACCAGATACCTGGTTATTTGAAGGGGGTCAGACGGCTGCTGGCAGTGCTCTGGATCACATAGTACACTCTCACCCTGCCCACTCTGCTGACATGACATACTCTAAACTAAACTCAGATCTGGGAGAGTTTCTAACTGACTCTACTTTGCACACTCTATCACGTGATCTGCATGTTGTACCTGATCTACACGGTAACAGGTCACCTCTAGCTCTACCCTGGTTTAGAGGGATGGTGTCTGGACTGGACCTCAACTCTTCCTACAAGGACCTACTCGTTCTCTACTTGGCGACTGTTCAGGGTCTGGCACTTGGTGTGCGGCTGGTAATTGACAAGTTGAGAGATCACGGACTGAACTTTAGTAATATCGTGATATGTGGCGGGCTGGCTGATAACCCCCTGTATCTGGTCGTGCTAGCAACTGTTGTCAAGGTACCGGTAACAGCGCCACGTGATGGTAACATGATGTGCGCGGGTGCAGCGCTGTTAGCGCAGTGCGCTGCCGAGGAACGTCCGTTGAGTGCTATCTTGGAGTCGGGGGTGACTGGGTCAGATGTTAGCGTTTATAGTCCTATCAGGGAACTTGTCGGGTATTATGAAATGAAGTACAAAGTGTACAGCAGTATGGTGTCTGATCAAGTCAAATACAGGGGGATCATGCATGATGGATTATCAAATTTTTAATTTTATTGGGTGTATTTCTGGCTTTTATTCCTTGCTGTTTTTGAGCTCATACCAGCAAGGCCGGGATGAGAAATAAAAAGGTGCTCTATTCTGTATTGAGTTTGACAAGCTAATTCAGAAATTGAACAAATTTAAGGAGGTAGCTGGAAATGGAAAGGATATCGTGGATTAAGTTTAATTACACAAAAAATAGTAAAGTTATTTTTTGAAATTTCTTGACTGGTCTAATGTTAAATTTCCTCGAATTGATTTTTCTGGATGGCCCAATACTGTCCGAGGACGTGAAATCTCAAAAGTTGCAATGGTCTCCTCCTTAAGATATACAAAGAAATCTACTGTGTACACTGTACATGCTGATGCAGCTTGTACTTTTATTTAGTCCCTTTAAACGGTAATGGCAGCGCTCCTGTAGCCGTATGATGTTTTTAAAGCTTAGATTTAACATTTCATTATGTAATATCTTTGAAATGGACGAGTTTTTATCAACTTTTATCTTCAAATTTACAGTCAATGTGAAACACAAGGATATATTTTCATTGCTTTATATACCCCCACTTTTTCATCTATCAAACTAAGACCATACTCGTTAGGATCATTTCTACAGTATGTGTCCCACCTTAGTCTTCTAAACAAGACAACCGATTCAGGCACGATGATGAGGATGTCCTTTGTTCCTGAGCATGAAACTCGCTTCTCACGAAGCTTTGATGACTGTTCACCCTTTGGCTTGTCCATCGGGGAGGGAGCAAAGGCAGCCTGAGTGGCCCATTACCAAAAAATAGTTTTAACAAAATCAATCCACTACATATCCCATATTGATTCCGTTTTGGCTTTGACGCATGCTCGAGGATTACATAGTAATATTATGTCCACAATGTGTTAGTATTATTATTCCATATACGGAAATGGTGTAGACAGCTGCTGATGTAGTAAGCTTTTACATTATTTATCCTTTAGCTTTGTACTGTTCACTTCAACCTTACATAGTGCTAATAGTAATGTATTTAAGATGTGAACGTTAAATATTTATCCGCACATGACATCATCTTTAAAAATATGCTGCCAAAAGTGAATGAAACAATTAGATAATTAGATAATGACCCAATTAAACAAACTTCCACCCTGTAGCACAATGTTAGGAGTATCGGATTACAGCCAAACAGCCTGGCTAGAATTCCTGACCGACTTGGAGGACAGCGTGTTAGTTTGCGACACCTCAGCGCTGGAGTTGGCGCACTGGAGTGTAACTGTTCCACTTCTGTTGGAGAGGTACAAGGTGGTTAATGTGCACCACATATCTGATAAGGTGGTGGGTTATGAGTCTACCAGTATATTCTTTCTTCTCGGTGAGTGACGTATTTGATGTTATCCGGCCGCGCCGCGCGCAAACCTATGCTACTCGCATTCGAGAAGTTTTCTTTTTAATCTTCATTCCATATTTCATTACTTCGCCTAAAAGTCTGCGTTTAACCATTCGGATTAAACAGTTAATTTTGTTAAACTGAATAGAATAAGCAGTTAATATTATTCATTTGGATTGAATAGACAACCCTAATCTGTTAAATTAATCCCTAATTTCAGGTGATCCTGGCTCGCTACCGACCCTCACTAAAATGTTAGAAAGATGGGTCGACTCCAAAACACAACTAGTAACAGCAATCTCTCTCCTCAGTCTTAACTCACTCCGAGTTATCTCCGGTAAAGACAGCCCAGACTGCTACTACCTAGACCAGCTCTCAAATCTGGGCAACCTCTACCCTAACACCATCTTTAACTTCACCGTGTCCCCTTTATCTTGTTTCTCTTTCACTGACCACACCTTCATTACTCCTTCATCTCGGGACTTGTTCCCGCTCACTCAGCCCGACCTAGCTGCTCTTACTTCCTGGTTAAAATCACGTGGTGACAACAGATCACCCGAGTCTGGGCAGGTGATCACCATGGCGATGTTACCGAGACCGCTCCAGCAGCAGATCAAAGTGCTTGCAGAGGAGTTGGGGTGCTTGTTTGATGAACTGGGTGTAGCAGAGGACTGTTACTCGGTGGGGAGTATGTCCAGGGTACTGGCTGACCATTTGGTTGCTACTGCGGGGAGTAGACCTTCAAGGAAACTTGCTCCGGGTAAAGTGAATGTTGTGTTTGTGGACAGAACTCTGGATTTGTTTAGTGCTACTAGTTTCGAATCAAACAACGCTGCAAACCTCTTGTTTAACAACTCTGACGAACTGTTTTCTGGTTCAAATGATGTTAAAGTAGATCTAAGACGCTTGTTCAACAAGCAAGAAACAGATGTTGTAATTAACGGTTGTATAGCTGACTCCAAATCAGCAGTACCCATCTCCACCCTTCTTACAACAGATCACACTACCCTAACTGACGAGATACTGAGCTCTCTAGAGGGCCAGATCCAGCTGGATCCCGACACTCTGGAGAGTAGGGACTTGTCTGCAATCCTGCCTGAAACTGACACATTCTCCAAATACCAGAACTTCATTCACTTCCAGGTGCTAGCTGCTATACTGGGCTGCCAAGAAAAAGGGTGCAATGATATTACCAGATACCTGACTTCAGCAGACTTATCCCTTCTCTGGACTACTCTGGAGGATTCTGTCTTGGTTGGGCAACTTGCCAACTCAATCCTTGCATCATTTCAAGATAACCCCACACTAACACCAGAGCACATAATCACACTACTCACACACCTATACACTCTGTTCGGGGGGCTCATCGACCAGTTCTCTGACACTGACGCTATTGAGCTAGCTAAACTGAAGAACCTGTTCTTCAAACGTCTCCAGTCCTCCAACTCTCCTCTCAGCACCTCTCTAACCTCCTCTTGTAAAACTGAGGAGGAGACCCACAGTAAAATAGACACGATATTCAGCAGATTGGAGAGCTTGTCTCAGGACAGGAGGAATCTGTCCCAGCTCGCTGATCTGACCAACAAGGAATCCGGGACCCCTCAGTACACCTCCCTACTCCAACAGATCATAGAACTGAGTCTGGAGAGTGAGGAGGACCTGGTGGATGTAGAGTACAGATCAGGAGGGTTGAGAGACCTGCTGAAGACAGGGTTAGGACTCTTCACCAGGGCGGTGAGTAAACCGCGGCCGGCAGGGTGTGTGTTGGTGTACGTGGTGGGCGGGGTTAGTGTGGAGGAGGTGGGCTGGGTGGAGGAGTACAGGAGGAGGACGGGGAGGGATGTTTATCTGGCTGGAAACTGTGTGCTCAGTCATGACAAGCTGGTCAGGAGACTTTTAGTTAATGATAACTTGTTTGGGGTGTAGTGTGCTGTGCAAATAGTGGGTTTTTATATGGTTATCATTTCGGGATCTGATGATTTTTGGCATTTTGATGATTTTTTCTTAGAACGTATATGTTAAATTGTGATGACTCCGATTGTACATTTTGCTTTAGCTGTTAAAAATTCTTGTGCTTTTACATTTGAAGTTATGTTGATTATTCCAATTGTTGAACATTCCCTTTGTGTCGATATGTTTGAAATTGTACTGTGGCAATAATACTAGCATTCTTTGTTTTGTTTTGTTTCACACTGAAGATCAAGTTAAATAATCTTCAAGGTTATAAGAAAATAACTTACAGGGAGCTGTGAAGTGTGGTGACATATGCTGATCAAGTCATTAAATTATGATAAATATTTGAAATTTAATCTCTTGTAAATTTCTGCGGACATAAAAATAACTCCTAGGAACCAAGATGTAGAGCATACAAATGTAGAAAAAGAATGGAGATCCGACTTTTTACGAGGGAAGAACTTTGGAGCCTGTTGGAGACCCAAAAAAATATTTACTCGAGATATGCGATAGTATCTGACTCGGAGATACAGAGTAAAATGCCCGGGGTTATCAGGAGGGAGCTCCCCATGATGTGGCTACTTGATTCTACCAAGGTAAAACTAACACATGGGCGATGATTTTCATATTAAGTAATATTCATAAATATTATAATATTTCAAATTCATTTCGAGTATTTCAAATGCAAAACTCGAGTGCGAAGGTTGCACAGCTCACTGCTGAATAAATGTTGGATATTTTAATTAAGGACGTTATCAATGTAAATATTCAGCATGTTGCGTGTGTAACCTCCTCCTCCTCCTAGTAACCTCCTAGTAACCTCCTAGTAACCTCCTCCTCCTCCCTACAGGTCGACATGTTAAACCTCCTCTCCCACACATCTGACACCGGCTGGTTCTGCTCCGTCAGAAACTCCACTCTGTCACTGACTCTGACCAAATCCTTGTACACCGAATGTGGTCTCCAGTGCAAGAAAACACGTGACGTCACAAAAACGCGTGATCTTTTCGTGTTCTCGTGTGATCTGAGCGAACTGTCTGCACACAATCGAACCAAGCTGACGTACTGTTTCACAAATGTTCTGAAACACGATTACTCGTGGTACTTCAGTGACTTCACACCAGCCAGCCAGGTATCCAAATCAACTGTTCAAGTGCCCAGTTTCGATAGACACAACAGAAGATCTCCAAGAAGTGGTAGACAGTGTTGGAGCTCAGCTCCTCCGCATAACCCCTGGATCTCACGACAGTGCTGTAAACACTCTGACCTGGGAGCAGCACCAGAGCTCGGTCCCCTGCTGGTCCTATCACAGTGACTGTTGTGCTACTGGGTCAGATATTGTGCACATGATACGGGATTACAAGGACAATGTTAGGTTTCTTAATTTAGTGTTGCTATGGACTACATCTGAGAGTTCTAAACATGTTACGTGTTATTTTAGCGGCTCTGATGATGTTTATCTGTTACAGTATGATGTTAGGTAGCACCTTCGGAGACAAAAGAACTTCTTAGCAGGGGTTTCTAAATCATAGGATATTTTTATTTGATGACACCGATAGACTTTTAACTTTTATCGTAACTTATTACTTAATTTTCTGTATTAATTTATTACCTGTAACCAGAATATGTTATTTTTGTTTTATTTTCTCATATTCTATTAATACTCCCCAATAGACCAGCAGAGTGCTGCAACTGGACGTGTTGAGATGAAATTTACCTAGCATATAAAGATATAATGGGTTGAGCAGCACTCTAATGCTCGCACATATTTATGATCATAATTTCATACAGAATTAGAAAGTTAATATTTCCCCCACACTTACTCAAGATACCACCCTCCCTATCTTGATCCACATTCCACTGTCTACAGGATGAGTTGTACCACGTTATCCCGGAGAGCTCTTAACCTCCTCACAACTACCAGGACCCCCCTTCATAACTTAGTTCTGCGGTCCTCTTCCACTATTAATGTAAGTTATTATACGGTGTAACCTTATCTATAAACAGTTACCTTATCTACGGTGTGAACTGTGAACTAAGAAATTGTGCACAGTTCAAACAGTTCCCTTATCTCCGGATTGAGGTTGATAATGTCGAATATTTGTAACTTTTACAATCTGTTTAATAAATTATTCCTTGTCCAGTCCCTGACTTGAGTCTTTGCAGGTGTTAGGTAGAGACTATGCAGTAGACGGAGAGACAAACGTGTCGTCTCACTTATTAAAGCACACGGACAAACTACTACATCACCGCAAACACCACCCCATACAGATCGTGAAACAGAGGATTGTTGAGAACATGCAGGTAATTAACATTAGGAAATTGATAGCTGAGATTGATTATTATACATATCTAAAATATCGTGCCAAATGTTATTCAATTGTGAATGTGTTCGACAGTGTAATTTACTCTAATTTCTCTTATCGCTCGAGAAAACTGAACCGTGAAATGAACCAGCACTTAATATTTTTATTCCAGGCGAAATATTTGTGGAACAACAGATCGCCCCTCTTCTCACACTACGACAACATCCCCCTGTTGTTACCCACGATCAGAACTTCGATCAGCTCTTGGTTCCGGGTGATCATGCTAGCCGACGCAAACAGGACAACTACTTCATCAACAAGTAAGAGATTATTTGCTATATCAAATAATATATCAATACATACTATTTCCGAGGGATCATTAAAATTCGATTAGTTGCTCATCAACAGACTGATTTAGTCTCTTGTCCTTGTAAAAATCTATCTGTAATTAACTTTAACTGTAGCCTGCACTTCTATATCCAGCCATTTCCTTCAGAGATCTGATGTTGCGGGCACACATGACCTGTCACGACACCGACCTCATCAGATCCGGGCTGGACTGCTTCCTGACAACTGGTGACGTGTACAGACGGGACACCATAGACCGGACCCACTACCCTGTCTTCCATCAGATGGACTGTGTCAGGACCTTCAGTACCTGGGAGCTGGAGGAGTTTAGTCAGGAACCCAAACATGTAAGAAACAGGTTAAATTGATACTTTTCCTCTCTGTTTTCAAACACTTAGAACTATTAAGACCGAACTCTCCAAATTCTGGTTATTTCTCGTTTTATCCAGCACTTATTTCAGTTTAAAGCGTTTGCGGAGGAGGGCAGCCCTGCCGACCCCAGTATCCAACCCTGCCACACTGCTGAGGCTGTGAGGATCATGGAGTACTCTCTCAAGAGTACCCTGATAGGTCTGGTGCAGTCACTGTTCGGGAGATGCAAGTACCGCTGGGTGGAGGGTTCCTTCCCTTTCACTTACCCCTCATTCGAGCTGGAGATATTTTATAACGGTTTGTTTTTTATTTGACGGTTTATTTTTGGGGGTGTGCTTTGTAGAAATAATATACATAATATGTCTGTGGACATGGAGAAACTATGTACTGAGTTAGGTATTTGTCGTCATTGCAAACTTCTTAGTTGTGAGTTCACACGTCAGACTGGGGTAGCAATCTTGAACCTCCCGCATTCTTCTGATTCCCGTCGGATATTTTGACTCTGTGTCTGCAACCGGGAAACTATAAAATCGGGAAACTTTAATATCGGGAAACTTTAAAATCGGGAAGCTTTAAAATCACCCTTTACATACATCCACTTCAGATGAGTGGTTGGAAGTGTTGGGGTGTGGGATTCTAATGCAGGATATACTCACTAAATCAGCTATACCCAACAAGGTTTGTAAAGATTCTCCTCACTTCTCCGATGTTTTTTGCAATTTGTACAAATACTTAACTTTTTCATTATTGTTGTTATTTGATCGCTCACTCATTTTTCGTTAGGGGGCACCATCATGTCAAGTATATTATGTTCTCGTTAGAAATTATTTATTCAATAATTGTTTGTCAGGTTGGTTGGGCGTTTGGATTAGGACTTGAGCGGTTAGCCATGGCGATGTACGGTATACCCGACATAAGAATGTTTTGGAGTGAAGATGAGCGCTTTTTGAAACAGTTCAGAGTGGATAACATTCATCGACGTATCACGTAAGATTTATCTCCAGAGATTGTTAATCTCTGGCTATTGTTTTAGGTTTTCAAGTTTTAACCGCATTTCGAGTTCAATGTGGTTTTAGTATGCTCGAAAAATTGGACTCTGCTCAGGCAGGACGAATGTATGATTCGTGAAAATTTAATAATAACAACAATAATCCCAACGATGATGGTCTTTTAGGATTAATTCATAAATTCACAACTGTATTTTACATGCCATAGTATAACCATTGACCAACTCTACCAGCCCTGTAACCAAGAGACTAGGAACTGACCGAATATTTGGCGGAATCCGGTTCGGTTTTATTAAAGGCTACTTGACCGGAAATCATCCTCAAATTTCAAAACCTTTTCATGATAATTTTTAATTATTTTACATCTTACGACTAAAAATTTGACATCGGGTTATCGAATTCACATGCCATGTCTTTAAGTTTGGATATTGGGGCCGAATAGAAAGAAAATGTAAATGATTCCCTCAAAATCTGTCGAATGGTAAAAAAGTAGTTACGTATTAAAAACAAAAATCTAATATTCGAATAATGAATCAGTTATTCTTAAAAGATCTCTATAAAAATAATGTTGATACACGAAGCCCATAATATATCCCGTGCCTGTCCGTTAATGTTATCGATGGTTAAATAACGCTACTGAACTTTAACATGTTCGGTTGGGATCGAGATTCGGTTCAGTTGCACTACTCCAATCAATAAACTAGTAAGATGCTGAGCCGCGCAACCAGCCCGAACCTAGAACAAAACCGAACCTGCACTAAAGTTCAGCAGTGTTATCTGGTCCCTACGAGTAAGTGTCCGTGTCACAATTTGCTTTCTCGGTGACGTAGTTGAGGAGCTCGATCACTCCCCTCGACATTGTTACTCCTACCAACTTTTCTGAAATAACGAACTTTTAATCTTAAATCACGGGAGTTAAGAAATAAAATCAAAATTCGTCAATTAGAATATGTTATCTGGAAACAAAATATATCTTAAAACTGTAGCATAATCATATTATGTTCAATTAAGATAATATGTTAAGATTCGGTTACCACTTATTTCATCCCATATGCTGGTGAGCCTCTCCGCCATTTCCTGAGTAAATACTGCCTCGAAATAGTTATCCGAGTACAGTATGGACCATGGCCTGTCCTCCACACGATCAACTCTACTCAGTAACTTGATAAACTCGTCCGTTATTCTGATACCCACTAACGCCTCTGAAATTGTTAGCTTTGTTATTTCACTGGCCTATTCTTTATGCGCTGCAGCTAAAATAAAAACAATAATCTCTTTTAAGACTAATTATCATGCGACAAGATTATCACTAAGTGTGACAGGGACAAAATGTGTCTACAACTTTTAAAAATCCTGCTATCTTTACCTGCTATATCATCCCAAGTACTGCGAAGTAGTTGAGCATGTTCGGCGGTGAGGTTTTGGTCCAGGAACTGCTCGGCGAGGAATATATCCCAATCCCAACTTGCATTTCGGTTAGCTGTTACCTGCTCTAACTCAGCAACAGTGGAATTTAGCCTGGCGGAGATGTCGTCCAGCTCCTCCTTCATCTCAAATTTGTCGGCCTGGCTCTCCTCCAGCTCAGCAACAGTAGAATTCAGCCTGTTCGACACGTCTTCCAGCTCCTGTTCTTTCTCCTCCAGCTCAGCAACAGTAGAATTAAATCTGGTCGATAAGTCTTCCAGCTCCTGTTCTTTCTCCTCCAAATCAGCAAGAGTAGAATTCAGCCGGTTCGACACGTCTTCCAGCTCCTGTTCTTCCTCTTCCAAACCAGCAACAGTAGAATCCAGTGTGCTGCAGATGTCTTTAAGGCACTTCGTTAAAATATCTAAGTCGGTTACAGTTCCGCTTCTTCCAAGCTCTAACAAATCTTCCCATTTAATAATTCTATAATAATCTTTCTTATCTTCAGCTGCAATATTTGAACACATCCCTTGCTGTGCCATGTTGGCTATGTCGCTAGCAGAGAGCTCTTTTGCATAGAAGTTGAGATACGCCATCTCACCACCGAACTTCCAACTATCACCTCCACCACAATTTCCGAGTGTCAATGCTCCAGTTGGCCTCATCAACCTACCTAATGCTGTTTGCTGAGTCCCTATTTCCACTCCATTTAGGTAGACGCGGTGATATCTTGTTGAGCTACTCCAGGTTGAACACTGGTGAAACCACGTGCCTTTAGACACAGAGATCTTACTCTGTAACATCTGATATGACTGAAGGACAGTTGAATAACTTCCATCAGCAGTCATTATCAGATTATCCGAGGTTCCATAGTAAACTGGACGATATGTTGCTGACCCTAAGTCTTTTATCCACACGCAAGCCGAGATAGCGTTAGCGAATGGACTCCAATCTGGTGTGTACTTGACATAACTATTAGCATCATCAGCGAACTTTAGACCTTTATACCTATTTAAGAAACTCCCTGTGGACCCAAGAGATGACCCGATCAACAGAGTTACGATGCTCAGAAACAAGAACATTGCCCAGAAATGGCTGACGAATTGTAAGTGGTACGTTAGAAATGGTACGTTAGAAATGGTAGGTTTGAGAGAAATCCGTCCACGTTGCTGAGCCCTATAAAGTGACCCTGAATTTCATTAAATCCGCCTCAAGGTAATTACAGATAAGAACATGTCACCCCTCAATATTACTAGTTTATGGACGGAAAGAAAAGAGAACATTTAAGATTTACCTATGGGTTATTACAGATAAGTCATAAGAACAGAACATATCAATCCTGAAGGCTGAATATTACTAGTTTATTGACGGAAGGAAGCAAGAACATTGAAAATAACAACCTTCAATGGAAAATATTACTGTCGCAGAATTATATTCTTTATTTCGTATAATCATGTAATTATAGATAAGAACATATTATCAACCTGCGCTAACCCTAAAGATAACTAGTGCATTGCTGAAGGGAGGGAGAACATTGAAAATGGTTCAGACAAATTCCTAATCTCCATTTTATTCCTAATTTTTCCGTTTTAAACCGGTTTGACGAGATATGTTGCAGGTTCGAGCCCTACAGCAGCTATACCTCCAGAACACGTGACATCGCATTTTGGCTCCCTGCCAACTTTGTGGAAAATGACTTCTACGATTTTGTTCGAGACAAACTGCCGAGCGACTCGGTGGAAGATATAAAACTGATCGACGACTTTACAAAGGAAGGTCGCATCAGTCATTGTTATAGACTAATCTATAGGTAGGTTACTGGTTTAGGGTTTTTGTTCTTGGGGATATCTGTAAAACCTTCTTTATTTCACTTGAAGTTGATTGATGAGAGGAAAAGTGTAATATGCAATTTAGTCTCCACAGTCCACAAAGTCCACAATGATATAATATTTCTTTATGGGGGTAGGGTGTTCTGCTTGATATAAGTTAACAGCTGGTTGGTCCTAATCGTCAACTGAAAATTGCAGCCGTATTCTTAAAACTTAAACTAGCCCTCAAAAATAAAACATGTTCGAATTCTTTCAGGGCTTGGGATCGACACTTGACATCTGAAGAAGCTAATCATATACACGATAACCTTGCAACTGAGGTGGTAAAGATAGGAGGGGTTGTTCGGTAGTGGTCTGGATGTGGGACAAATTAGGAAGTGAAATTTCACATAACAAATCATGTGCTCCATGTAAATTATATATTTTCTAAAGTGATCTTATTTTTTATGAGGTTACAAAGTTGTCACATTGTTGCGTGTATTGTGTTTATACTTCGCGGTTTTGGTTAAGGTAATTTATGTTTCAAGTTTAATATTTAAAACTGTGAGCTTCAAGGAAGTAAATTGTGATATTTAGATTGATATTTAGATTAAAAGTTAAACTTTTATCATAATGACTGGCTCTTTTTCATAGGATCTTGAGCAACTCTTTAAACAATTAGCTTTCATTCAGCGTAAATTTTTTGGCTGAAGATTTGATGGTTGTATTTGAAGGTTCACTAGTAATCTTACTGGTAATCTTGTTAGTGTATTACTATTAGAAGTGTGATAATTCGGACATGATATCTTGATACTGATACCGGCGAAGTTAATCCGCTCTGAACTAAAGTGGAACTGAAATTTACCCGGTCTGAAGTAGGGTGGAACTGACAGTTCACAAGCAGAACTGAGAACACAATAGGAGTCACCTATCTCACACAATAGGAGTCACGTATCTCACACATTTGTAGTCACAGCAAGGTCGGCTACTCATGACCAGTGTTTTGAAGCGAAGAGATGATTTCGGAACATTTAACCGTGAAGCGGTATGGAACGGTCCTAAATAATATCGTCACATAGTCTCATGCTGCTCCGAAAAGATACTAAATTTGTGACATGTGAATTATGATCTGGACACTAATTGCAAGTTTTGTCGGCCTGTAAATTTGATGAATTAACGTAGGACGGAAAGCTCTGCTGTTGCTGGGGCTGCTGCGTGAGTGGTCCATGACAAGTATTAATGGTCTCGTGGTGAGGTGGTGGTCACGTGACTTGCCACGTCCGGAGTTCCTAAGTATCCAGGCTTCTCTCACCTCTTCATTTCTCACGATGTTTGTTTTGTGGTTCGCTATCTTGCTGACTGCTGATGCAGCAGGTCTGGTCGATCTCCAGGACATTATTGATTCCCATCTGGAAACAGCTGGAGATGGTGTCTCTGCTGATATTGAAGGTAGGGTTAGATGCAGGGATATCACTGATATTGAGACACTCTGTGAACACAAGAAACAGTGCATGGACGTCATGCCCGATCTACCGGATCTCTGCCGAAGTTTCAAGAGAGAGAAAACTGGTGTGGACGAGTTTGTTGAGATAATAGACATGCGCCGAAGTGAGACTCACATCATCTCCATGTTGTCTGATGTCATTCAGGGTTACGCTGATGCCAGTCCTCCTCTCATCATTCAGGGACCTAAAAACTTGACAGTCACTCCGGGATCTCAATACCAGCTGGAGTGCAAAGCTGAGGGAGCTCCGACACCTAAACTCACTATCACCAGGTTGGAGGAAGCAAGTTTGAATAGAGTCAAATCAAAGAAGAACAAGCTTGATGTTCAAATGTCAGCGGCTCACGTGATCCACAAGAATGAAAGGGTCCAGATCCAGGATGAGGGATGGTACAGATGTGTAGCTGCCAACAATCGCGGGGTTGTCTTTGCAGACGCTTACCTCCGGGTCTATGATCTCTGTGGAGATATCACGTGCACAGGGGGTAAGATCTGCGTGCCTGATAACGAAGCTGCCACTGCATCCTGCGTCTGTCCAGAGTGCGTGGATCCGAGCTACGACCCGCTCTGTGGAAGTGACTGTGTCACTCACTTCAACTTCTGTCAGCTTGAGCTCAAAAACTGTCTTTATGGGACCAGCTACACCAGGTTTCTTGATTCTAGATTCTGCCCTGACTTCACCCCTCCTGAGTTTACTGTGACTCCACCAAGAACGCTCGCCGTGACGGAAGGAAAAGCTTTCACTCTAACCTGTAAAGCAGCTCCTGCTGGAAGGAGCCCAGGACCTCAACCTATCATCTCCTGGTATTTGGCGGACTACGAAGCTCCAACCAATGAGGATCCCACGCTTTATGAACCTGACTATGGACAAAAACTTGGAGACGGGGAAACAATCAAACTGAGAATGAAGGATGACCATGACATATTCTGTGTCGCTCACCAGTGTAAACACGGCCAGAGTATCCCCATTGATATTGTTTCTGATTCAGTGTATGTCACCGTTGCCCCAGGAGAAATCAACGTGTGGAGAGGTGGTCCGTCCTGTCAAGTGTTTGGGGATCCCCATATCATCACATTTGATAATGCGGTGTACGAGTTTGAAGGACACTGTGAATATATCCTGGCTATGGATTGTGAGAAGAGGAAGTGGTCTGTGTACGGTAGTTTTGATACTTGCTCCACCCACGGTCGAGGGGCCTGTCTCTCGTCGGTCACTCTTTACTACAACGGCGAGGTCTCCCTTGAGCTGCTTCGTGGAAAGATAGTCAACAACGCAGGCAAGCGATTCGACGTTCCTGTTGAAACGACTCCTGCCAAGATCACGACCGAAAGTGGTGAAACCTTGTACGTCTTTGAGAAGGATGGCTGGGTGGTCGTCAAATTTAACTTTGCATATGATTCCCATTATGAGCTGCGTTGGGATGGACTGATGAGTGCTCAGATTCTACTGGGAGCCAATGCCCCTGCTACATGTGGTCTGTGCGGTAATGCCAATAACAACACGGCTGATGATTTCCAGATGAGATGGACGGGAGACGTAGTTGAAAATGTGAACGAGTTCGGTGACAGCTGGAGAATTGACAGGAGAAATAAATGTAAGAAAACTGCTGAAATGCCGGAGTGGGAGTGGGAGAAAGACTTTGCAGACCGAAAGCAGGAAGCTACCACAGTTTGCAACAAGAAGTTCGACGCTCCCCAGCTCGTTAAGTGCGCGACTGGCACGGGATATGGCAAGCAGGTCAGTCCTAAGCCCTACAAAGAGGCCTGTGTATCCGACTACATGAGATCTGATTTCCTTCCAGACGAGCTGGCTGGGCTGAACATGGCCTGTGTGACGGTGATGAACTACGCTGAGAGATGTGGAAATGAGGCGAACAAGAACCACCTCTGGAGGGAAGAAAGTGGGTGCGCTGGGGAGACTGAGGAACTTGAGAAGTTCAAGGAGTTTCTTGGAGAGTTTGATTGTGACTTTTAGAGTTTTGAAGTCAGGGTCTAGAGAACTTAGAAAGTGCGACTGACTATCAACTTGAGATTATTCAGATAGTTCGCTATAAAATCAAATAGAAAACCTTATAATCTTGTTTACTCGATGCTTTTAGGTGTGATGATACTATGTGTGAAAAAATAATCGTTCTTGCACGCTAATATTTTTAGAAAATATATTGTAATTATTAATAATTATTGACCCATTATTGATATAAAATGGAATGGCTTTTTAATTTCTCTTCTGTGTGTACAGCACATTAAACAACACTCGCCGTGAATGTTAGCAGGAAAAACCATGACATAAACATTAATTTATGGATTACTTTGTTGTACAATAGAACTGAATTTGAAGTTTACTAAGCGATAAATGAGCCACGAACGATTTACAGTCACGCTCTGGAGTAATATACACGATATTCAATACATGCAATTTCAGGGCTGAAATTTGTTCAACCCACGTTTCTCAAAAATTGCTAAATTAAAACCTGAAGTAGTTAATTTATTGGGATATCATAATAGCGGTTAAACTTAAAGGTAGAGTTGCCTGAATTTGTTGTGATGCATTCTACTAGTACTCGGACTGTAACAATGTTATGTCATCCGGTATTATTAAATATTTGCAGTGGAATATTCTTTCGTAGCTTAGTCTACAGGTCAGTCAGGTTACTCATTTTAATCAACTTACCTGTGAATCATAAACCGTCTTAATCTTATACCGCCAGCTAATATAATCATAACCATTATCTTGAAAATTTCCCATAAAACCTTAAAGTTAATATGATTTTCCACAAATGCCATTATCGGCAACTTCATGTTATCCAGCTGGCTGCTTTGTGCCAGTGCTACTGCTAGTTGCCTTATTGCTAAGTTTTTATCAGTATTATTAATAGTTAATACTAGTGTCACCTTTCTCTCTCTCTCTCTCTGTTCTGGTCAACGGTTTCTGGCCTCTTACGTTAAGATGGAGGCCTTCTCACCGTGCCCACAGAATGCAACTCCTGCTAGCTGCACGCCAGGACTCCCAAAGTATATACGAAATCATAAAATAATAAATATCAATGCAACAGACCCCTGGAGTCTTGAAGCTGTCACTACCTGTCTCAGAGCAAACCCACTTCCGTTGTAGTACTTCTGCGGGTAGACAAGGGACTTCCGAGCAAGGTCAAAGCCTGGAAGATATGTCTCTATGCGGAGATGGGCCTAGGTTGAGTTCCTAGTATGGGATTTAGCGAAAGTTCCTGGTGAAGAATCCAAGGAGGTTACCCAAAAGAGTTTTCCCTATCCAGTCTTGTCGACTGTTCCACAAATTTGAAGATATGATGTAGTTTACTGGTGTTAAGGTAGAGTTTACCAATTATTGTCATTCTGAACGTCATGATCTGGATGCACTTGTAGAGGAGGTGCTGGGATGTTGCTGCTTCTCCTGAAAAGTGTTCGCAATCTTGCGTCTTGAAGTTGACGTTGTTTGCCACGTTCTGAAAATAAACTAGTGGGCTGTGACCTATTCTGAAAGCGACCATGTTAGCCATCTGATGTGAGTTCCAGAAAAATAAAAGTTCCTGTATTTAATTTGTGGAGGAACATCACAAGTGGAATGTTCCTTTGTCACTGAGTGTGGCCTATTTGGGAGGAAGGGTTCTGGTCCTATGGGGATGTTGTTGGATTGATCGTCCCTTGCGAATTCTTCCGCTAGTTCTTTACCGTATACTCCTTAATGTCCTGGAACGAAGTCCTACTCGATGTGAATACCTAGTGAGTTGGTCTGAGATGTTCAGAACGAACCTGGAGTTAAAACTGGTGCTGTTAAGCGCTTTAAATGCAGCCTGGGAATCTGAGAGCAATTTATGATTGATGGAGATCCTAAGTTATCATAAGTCCAGATACTTGCCATGTATAACGCAAATAGCGGGTATGATTTCCTCAATTAACCTGAAGGAGGAATGTCAGTCCTGAAATGTTACCATGTAACGTCGAGCTAAAAAAATGAATCAAAAGATTGAGTAATGCATTCGATAAACATTGTATGTTCTATTTGCATCCCCTAAGCATTGCATTGATGTTTATTCCTGATCCGGTTAGCTTTGCGTCTCAGAACTAAAGAGGTCCACTATGCTTTAGTGAGCTATGCTCGCCACCAGGGTACTGTAGATCTAAGGGTTCCCCGTGTAATGGGGCAGGCTGTGAAAAAGCAGCTCTGCAGGATGTTCGAGATGAACTGTTTTCGAGTGTTGAGATCTTCCGCTGTAGAAACTGAATAGAACCAGTAAGGGTGTCAGTCAAACTCTGCTGCTACTAGATGATTGTAGAGCGTCCAGTCACACTTCAATGTAGAGTGTGGCAAAGCTAACCCGGTCCCCTGAAAAGTGGTTACTGGAGGAAGAAGTGCCAGGAATTCTCGCTATCAGTGTGTCCTCGTAGTCAGAGTTTAAATCCCTAATTCTGTCTTATCACGAGCCTGTGTCTAGCGTGTGTCAGCCCTTACGCATTAGCTGTTTTAACTGAAAAGACCTGAAAAGTGGTTACTGGAGGGAGAAGTGCCAGGACTACTCAATATCAGTGTGTCCTTGTAGTCAGGATGAGCGAATTGGAATCCCTAGCTCTGTGGTGGGTGACTTCGATGGGACCTGAAAGCTGAAAGAGAATTTCCTGGTGATTTAGTAGCTCTTAGAGCTAGGTATCTGTGTCCAATGTATCGTCATTTGTGTGTGTACTATCTTGTAACCTGATATCTGAAAGAGAAATTTCCTGGTGCTTGGTAGCTGTTAGTGTTGACTTCCTGGTTCCTATGGGAACTTTGAGTTGGCAAGGCCCAACCTTTGTACTCAACAAGAGAGCACACCACCCGTTAGTGCCAACCAGGCCACACCACGTGGAGGTTCGGAGAGGATTTCGTGACCCGTGTCACCTTTCTAATTGCACTATGAGTATGGCCAAGATTCCACTGTCTGCAAACAAAATCATCTAGCATCAATTTCAAACATTGCGGCTGAAGAGAAAACACTCAAATAAAACATAATTAACAATAATCATGGAATGTTCAATGTTGCGACCATCTACTTTGTACTTAGGACGTCCAGCAAATAGGGAGGGGGATGGTTTTGGAATTTCGGACAAATCTGGACAGGGGGAGGGGTGGTATCTGAAAATCCGGGCATCCGGAAATTTTGGCAGAAATAACGAAAAAGTCCCATTTATTTCAATTCTTTGAATTCTATTTCAACTCTTTGAATTCTATTAACAATGAATTTGAGTTGGTTTTATTTGTACTCTTAAAAGTAGCTGAAAATCCGGACGTCCGGGGGTGGGGGTGGTTTTGAAAATTCGTACACACCCGGAAACTGAAAGGGGGAGGGGGTCTGATCAAGATCTGCGATTTTGGCGGACGTCCTGATATAAGTAGATGGCCCCTATACTAAACTATTTATCGCAAGCCAATTTGTAAAATTGGCCAGCGATAAATGGTTTAGTATAGGGGCCATTTCTCCACCGAAAGCACATCCAAGGTTGCACATGCAGCTAGGTTTATAAGTATAACCTACCAAGACGCGCGCCGAGTTGAAACAAATAAATTTTACGAGTATCACCCGTTAAATCCAAGGCCAATTTGATGGTTTTTACTGATTCGTTCGCCCAAAAATTTCTCGTGACTTTGGTTTTTATGGTTTTGCAGCCGTACAAAACGGTTTTAGATAAACCCTAATCCTAACCATAACCTGAAGCTATTCATGTTTTACTAGCCTGTCACGTAACCAAAACGGTTTTTTGCCCATGAGTCATGACTCTCTAGGGAAGCATTTTTACCCTACGTCATGGGGGGTGATTCGGTATCAGCGTCCAAAAATACACTTATTGAGATCAGTTTCATACCCAAAGGGCCTTCCCAGAAAACCTTACCGTTAGGGGCCTAACTTCGGACGTAAAAGAGATAGAAAGTTCTGGTTTTCAACAAAATGTCCGTCTCTTACCTGAGGACCCCAGGCTATTATGTTCATTAACAATATAGATTTGGCGGAATTACAGGCTGAGCGCGGCCCAGTAAGTCCGTCTCGTAAAACTGAAGTTAGCTCCCCAGGCCGGAGCACAATTTGGGACAACGTAGATTTTGAATTATCCTGAAAAGTATGATTTTGAGCCAAATTAAAGGATCGCAGATTTTGTAGGTTTACAACCTACCAGGACGCGCGCCGAGTTGGACTTGGAGGACTTCGCCGCGCAAACTAGCATTCTTGCTTCGCAACCCATCGCCGATCGTTTAATTCCCATCGTCACGATCTCGATGTGTTGACACCGTCAATCAAAGTTGGACTCATCGACGGTCCTGGAACATTTGGAACAAATATTTTACGAGTATCACCCGTTAACAGCGTTTTAACTTTGCAAAATAATGTTGTTGCTATGACTCCAGATTGTAATTCACGCGAGCGATCAGTAAACATTACGTCACGCGCGCTGACACACGTGCTATTGAAAAACGACCACCTAGCCTCTAGTAACACGGCCAGCCGGTAAGTTTTGCTGGGAGATGTTCATCTTGTAGCGCGATGCACTACTGGGCCGCGCCGCGCATCCAATAATGCTTCTCGCAACCACATGTAATGCAGATCGGCAACCACTTATGCAGATCAACCACTCATGCAGATCGGCGAGATGCGAAGGATTGGCATCGTGAATCAAATATTCATCCTCAGCTGTTAAAATAAGTAAAGTAAAGTAAAAATTATGACATAACATCATCACTAATGTCTACAAAATATCATTGCACTACATGGAAAAATATAAAATAACTATTTCTCCATCAAATTTAAAAGTAATGATTTATCAAATATCAATCACAAATCATGAATAACAAAAACATTGAAAAATTTAATTTATTCATACTTTCCAGTGGAGTATGGAGTAAAGATTTATAAAACGTTTCTTTGCTACATAAGGATGAAACCAAAGATAATCATTGTGTTTTTCCTTATTACTGACATAACTGGTACTAGGCTATCCACTCCGATAATCGTAACCGATAATTATCTCCGATAATTCGTTAAAAAAAGTTATCTGTTTATCTAGATAAAAAATATTTTTATCGGTATAAAAATTCACTAGATATTACCGAAAATACTGCCAGAATACCGTAAAATTGTAAAGAAATATTAGTGTTTTTGCCTTCCCAAGTAATCCAAGAAACAGTCCCAAACGTCTTCTAGTATGATAGAAGAAGTAGTTTACTT